ACTACGAGAGAATAAATGTGTTTGTTAAAGCCACCACTTGTGGTATTTCTATTACAGCAGCACTAGAGAACTACAAAGGAGCCCTGGCGGGGTCATGCTAACTGCAAGGTCAACAATTAAAGACTACCAGCCCTTTCTCTAGAGTAAAAAGTTATAGTCTTGGAAACTCACAGGGCCAGTTCTACCCCGACCTATAGGGCCATTATGAATTGGAATCAATCAACTCAATGGCAGTGAGTTTGTTTTGTGGGGAGAGAACTGCAACAAGCATTGGTTTCCTTAACCACTAATTCTATAATAATAAAATTAATAATAGGATATAAAATAATATAAAATATAACAATAAATTGGAGGTGTGAACGCTTCAATTGAGAACAGCAGTTCCAGTATCTAAAATGAGTTTCAAAATACAGTTTATCAACCTCTACATTTGAGTAAGTTTTGCTGCTGCCTAAAGAATTAAAATGTAAAATCAAACAGCAATAATCAAGACTACTACTGCTGATATACCAGTCTTGGTCAACAGTCTGAAGTAAAACCTACACCATCAAGGCATTTCCAGGGCAAGAGAATAATTTTTTCTTCTAGTGAAAACTTTGAACTGCCCCAGGAATTCAATAAAAACTAGATGTAAAACCCAAGGATCATAATTAGCCCAGGAGGGATTCCTTTTGAAAGAGCCAGAGTTTTGTAAAATCTATAAAATGAAGAAGTAAAAGTAGGTATATATACCACAGGGTGTGAACGGTTTGTTTCTAAGAACTTAAAAGTTAACATTTGTTCTAAAGTTGTTTGTGGCAATGATTACACAACTCTTTTTAATATATTTAAACCACTGAATTGTGAGGTGTATGAATTATATGTCACCAAAACTGTTAAAATTCTTTTAAAAATTAAGCTTTACCCTAGAACTAAGAAGACTATTATATATGACAAAACAGGCAATGGCGACTCCTTAAAAATATGACACGTGCTTTGAGCATGATGATGGCAACAAATGTGCACATGTGGGTGCACAGATGGATTGTGAGAAGAGTTGTACGAGCCCCAATAAAATTATTTTAAAAAGACACATGCATAGACTTGACCAATGCACAACTCTTTTTAATATATTTAAACTACTGAATTGTACGCTATGTGAATTATATGCTAATAAAACTGTTAATTTAAATTTTAAGAAGACTTCACCAAAAGAGTAAAATGGTAGATAATATGGAATGATACCTGTATTAGCTCCCAATACAATGGTTTTGAGAAAGAAAAAGAAAAAAAAAGATCAATAATGCAATTAAAAAGTGGGTAGAGAGGATAGTTTACCAAAAAATACATTCAGCCAGCCAACAAACATGAAGAATTGTTCACAATAATAAGTCATCTGAGAGATACAAAGCAAAATGATGACATACAACCTCACCCCAGCATTGAAAGCAAAGTTCAAAAACCAGAAAATAACAAATGCTAATGGGGTGCATAGAGATTGGAACCCTCATACACTGCTGTAAAAGAGTAAGCCCACCGTGCAAAGTGGCATAGCACTTTCACAAACAACTGAGAATAGAAATGCCGTAAAGCCCCATAATCTCACTAGCTGGTATAAGCCCTAAGAAATAAAGAGCACAGTATGAACAGATACATGTCCAGCTACACTCATCGCAGCACTATTTACAAAAGCAAGAACATGGATACAACCTAAATCCCCTAGTGGAAAATGGATGAACTTTCAGTACAAACACACAATGGAACATTAAAGAATGATGGTGAACCTATGAACATCACATGACATGAACGGAACTGGAGAACATTATGCTGAGTGAAATTAGTCGATCACAAAAGAACAAATACTGTATGAAGTCAATGTTACAAAAAAAAAATCAAGGAATGGTTTTCAACTAAAAGAAACCTTGATGGCTATCAGGAGTAGGAGCGGAAGGGAAAGAAGAAGCCATAACTGGAGAGTAAACAGGTGTTAATTTAGGTGACGGGAAAGACAATATGTCATAAGACAGCTGGGCAAAAAAAGATAGGAACAGGGCAAGATTTTGGATATAAAAATGATGACCTGCTCTGTAAGACCTCACCTAATTCATCTTTGATCCAAAAGCAAAAAGGAAAATTTTGCAACTTACTTTAAGAGTTGATACCCTTAAGCCATCCCGGAGTTGCAAATAAAAGCATGAAGAGATGCTGACAATGACATCCAAGTTGAGGGGAAAAAGAAAGAGAAGAACAAATACTGGAGAGGCTGTGGAGACTGGAACCCTCACACATTGCTGATGGGACTATCTATATGTACCATCACTATGGAAAGTGATACGGCATTGCCTCTAACCAGGAACAGAAATTCCATTTTATCCAGCAAAACCCAAGAATTAAGAGTAAGTAAACAAGACATATGCATGCCCATGTTCATCGAAGTACTGTTCACGACAACAAGAAAATGAAAACAATCTAAACACCCCTCAGGTGAAGTAAGGCTAAGGGAACTTTGGGACGTACACACAGTGGAATAGTGTGCCTGGCTCAAAAGGAGGAAGAAATCATGAAGCACCTCATGGTATCAATGAAGCTGGAAGACATTATGCTAAGTAAAATTAGCCAATCACCAAAAGACAAATATTATGTGAGACCACTGTTATAAAAAAAAAACACAACAGGACAGACTTTCATACCATACCAAAGACAACATACTTTTTATTTTTTAAACCAGGGGAAGGAGGGCAAAGGAGAAGCAGCAATTGACTAGATGGCTGACTGCCATTACTTTGAAGTAGTAGACAGGAGTCCACAAGAGGTAAGTGAGAAATGAAAAAATAGGGGAAGGGTTGAATACGAAATTGATTATCTGAAAAATCTAATTTAAAATTTAAAATTTGTTTTTTTAAAGTTGGTGCTACCAAACATCTTCACCCATACATAAAGGACTGCTATCATTCATCTGCAAGATCCTAGCCCACAAGCTTTCACCGAACGCTAACCAGCACCAACACCATCATCTCTATTGGCAACCCTGAGTGATACGTCACACATACACTGCACTCCGCTACCCTTGGAAAATGTGTACGACGGCACGTTGACACTCATGCAACCTGCCCAAGGATATGAACTGGGTTGGGGTAGGTCTTGCCAGCAGGTATGAGAAGGTGGGGACAGGAGGAGGAGCGGTGGCTATACAAAGCAAGGCGCTGGTGCTGAGCTTGAAGCGAGGGATACCTGAGAACTCCCCATCGATGGCGAAGAAGTCAGCCTCCTCTATGGCCTGGTACACTGTGTGAAGATTACTCTTAAAATCTGCGGAAAAACCGATAGGAAGTTGAAAACTTGGGCCTGATTTCCTTCCTGCCCGCTGCTTCTTCCAGGGAGACCGGACGAAGGCGGGGGTTTCTGGGCGCAAGGGCTGAAGGAGGGCAAGCCTCAAAGGGTGCACGGGATGAAGGAACAACCCCAAGGGGCACACCGGCCAGTGAGGGCAAGGACCCTGCGCGGTGGGTGCACAAGCCTGAGGGGCAGAAACCCAGAGGATGCACGGAACAGAAAGGAGCCAAAGGCCCTGAGAGTGCGCGTGCCGACGGATGAAAAGCTGAGACGTTAGACTGCCTCTGCCCTAGGCCCCGGCGACCAGGCTGGTGTCCGCGGGGCCTGGGCCTGGCAGGGGGCCGGGGGACGTGGGGGCGCGCACGTGGAGACACGCACTACTCCTGACTATCTCCATTGCGCTGAAGGGCCGGAACGCGGCCCGCTAGATCGTTCCACGGGCAGAACTCGGCAGCCACGGCGGCGGCAGCACCCGGGCGGCGGCGGCGGC